CGTTAAAAAAAATAGCCCGTTATGGCGTATTTAATCATATATAAATAATATAAATGCGAAAGATTTTTAGAATTTGCAGCCTACACGGCAGAACGGATCTTGATGTAATTAGGCACACATGTAGAGGATAGTCTTGATGAATATATTATAGGCTATCACTTTTTGTAATCCCACGCGGACGGAGTCGCGGGCGCAAGCTAGTGATAAAATGAATGGGAAGTTCAGCAACCGAGCATTAATATGATGTATAAATATACTGAAACTTATATGACAATGAGGAGAAAGATTAAAAAACATACAATACAAGATAGCAGGGTATATTCTGCAGTATGTTTTGACTGACGTTTTCATGGACAGAAGTAACGTGAGAATAATTAAATTTTATTCGTGCTTGAATACAGATGAAAAGAAGTAAATATTTTATTAATGCCATAAAATGTATTCTGTAAAGAAACTGTTGATGATGTTGTTAATAATTGAATTAAAATAAAACAAACGTTCAAATATAAACAAAATTATTTAAAAAAAAAAAATAACTGCTTTTCTGTCATTTAAGCAGTAAGCTTTAGAAACTACGATAGTATTAATTACAAGGATCAAGTAAACAGATCAATATAAAAAAATCTTAATTTAATTCAAAACAGAGAATTTTACAATGTTAAGTAACTTCTACACAATAACACCTACTACTGAACTCAAAACTATTTTCGATGTTTACAGAAAGTGCATTGGACGTGAAATTTCTTTTAACAAACTCCAGGTATGTTTGCAGAGAAAGCGCGAGGCGTTCATCGCGAGACTATCGATCTCACATCTAACTTTGAGATATCAAGACACTGACAATGAAAAATAAGTTAACATTTGCGAGAAACATACAACAAACATACATTTCTATACATATATCATATATCATCTTGCATATTTATTTTTCTTTCATAAATTCATAATAATACCGAAACGCCGTAAGCGTAGGTTTTTAATTATTATTGTATAAAAATATTTTTCCTGCTGTTTTCGATGCCCACGATACAGGCATTGCCTAGTGTGGGCATCACTAGATCAATCACATTTTATCACTATTTGTATTTATCTTTTAATTGGTTATAACTTGTATTGTTAATTATTAATCTGTTATTTTTCAATAAATTTTAATTTCAATTTCAATTTCAAACGTCTAATTTTGGTATTTTCTTTATTATAAAATTCACATTTTTAAATTAAACAGTTGCACTCTTAGAATTTGAATTTTTGTAAAAACAAAAACGTTTGTTTCCATCTAGCTGTTGCCCGCGACCTCGTCCACGCAAGATAAAAAAGTAGTCTATAATATGCCCGTCTATGTCAGCTACCCTTCAGGGAAAGTCCGATCGAAATCAGTTGCGCCGTTTCGGAGATTGCCCTGAACAAACGCGGCTTGCGGACAGACAGACAAAAAAATAATTAAACGCCATTTTTGTTATCAGCAACGCAAATACATCATCTTCCCGAAATGTGGAACTTTTGTTTTGATATTACAAACAGACACTCCTATATTATTATATGTGTAGATTGATTTGTTCGAAAAATTATCATAGCAAATCCAACAAAAATGAGATATTCTATTCTATGTGGGATGCAAATTAAATTCTTTTAATTTGCATCCCACATAGAATTCCTTTTTTTATCTTAAACGAATTGGATTTGTAATGATGTATAAACAGTTGCTGGGACAGTTGATTCTCGAGCCACTTTCCGAAGTCGAAAACGCTCGAGCATAAATTCAGCTAAAGTATTCATCCCACAGTTCTTGCGGCAACTTAAATGGTCGGATAAACGTTATTACCGAGTCAATTGGCGCTCACCTCGCACTGATGGCAAATAGAACGGAATTTAAAAAGGGGAAAGTAGTAGAAGATTTTTTATACTTCAATGTATCGCCTATATTTTGTAAGACAGCATTTTACATTCATTTATTTGAAACTATAGTCTATATAAAAACTTTATTGAAGTATATTTCTGATTGCCGTGTTAACATTTTGCTCCAGCACCGAGCTATACCATACTTCGCTTGCATAAGAATTTTTCACATATTTTGTATATTTGCACGTCTCCGATGTTTGTTTTAAGCAAATGGCAAGTGCATCCTGTTGCATAATGCTTCAACTGCAGGCTAATTAGAACAGCTGCGAACCCAATGCGGACCTTAAAGTTTTCTGCGCCAAGCGTTCCAAATAAAGCCAAATATTTTGTTCAATTAAACTCTTGTTTTGTATTGCTGAGGCATTTTCAAAAAGATATTTAGTAAAAGCATTAAATATGTGTCAAAAAAATTATACTTAATAAAAAAAAAATATCTCTTAGATTTTTTTTTTAATTTTCCTATTGAAAATAACATCACTTTTTAAAAAGCTCCACTTGATGTTAAGTTTTCGCCCGCGATATCGTCGAAAAAAATAAGTCGCCTACGTTTTCTTCCAGATTTTCTTCTATATCCACGGCTTTCATTGAGATCCATTCAGCAGTTTAGGCTAAATCCATTTAAACTTTCTCATTTATATCAGTGGAATGTCAACCCTAATTCAATCAAGTTTCCATTTGTCACAACGTGACATATTACGTGACAAAATGATGAAAAGGGTTACAAGTGACACATGAATATGGGTTCATTATAATCGTGCAACGTGCGACCACCTGCATAAATATATGAACTTATCTTTCTCTATTTTTATAGTATGAATGACGGATAACATATACGCGTGTCCGCAATGGAAATGAATGGTTCCAAACGAAAAACGTAAAAATAACCAGATCAAGTCGAAATTAGTAAATAAGAATGAAAAGAAATGTTAAATATTAGCTTCTTTTTCACACAATATTCCTTTTCCTAACAATGTTATATTTCATAAGCCGAACAATTGAAGAAGAGCCCCCACAGACTGGAGACTATCGGCCGATATTTTGCTTAATATGAAACAGACTATCTTCTGTTAATTTACTTTTACATATTTATGAATGAAAAAGAAAAAAACACAGAATTCGTTTTAGTGTTTATTTTAAAATTTTCTTTTTTATGGTCTTCTTTAAGAACACAATTTTTAATCAGCCAAATGCTAATTTTTTTACAAACATTTGTTTATACTATTTACAACCTTTGTATACAAAGACGGTTTAGATAACCCATTATTAAATCTCCCTATTTATATTATTGTATAATGGCATGTGTTTATTACATTATTACATACTCTTTTATAATAATACAAGAATCTATAATTTAAAATAGTAAATATCCTGTATAGTAAAACAAATTAGCGGTGCATTAAAACTAATGTGCCTCAATACATTTTCGTAGTATAATAATTACATAGATACTTAAATTTTAAAGTTTTTTTTTATAACATAAGGTGGCAAACGAGCTAGTGGCCATCAGAAGCCGCCAAAATGGCGAAGCGGCCGCTGCCCATAGACATCTGCGATCGCAGATGCGTTGCCTACCCTTATCCGATGGAGGAGGAGACGCACATAAATGCATCTCCTCCACCGTCAAATCCACCTCCCCTTCCCATTCTCTCCTTATAAGAAAAGGGTGGTAAAGAGAAAGGGACTTAAATTAGGCTTCCGGCACCACACTCATCAGATGAAACACGGAATTGCTTCCATTTCACGCCAGACTTCTGTGTGGTCGTGGTATTACACCGGGCGTGCCGGCCCTGCAGTGCTAAGATGTTAAAGCGGGCACTACCACTGTTAGATTATTTTATACATCGTTAATGATAAACCAAAATTAAAAACAGAACATTGTAATAAAATGAAGATTATAGTAAATTTTAAAATGTAATTAACACAGTGATCGCAATTTCTATCTGCTTTTACATTTAAATATAAAATTCTATCCTTCAACACCTTAATTGTTTTAATTTTAATGTATTCTTTATTTTATTTATCATTATGCAAAGGATAGGAATAAAATAGTTAAAAACTAAAGGAGCAAAACTTTAGTACTATTGAATTCTTTGGCTTTTATATGTTTGTCAGAATAATATGTAACTACGTGTGCTTAGTGCATTTTTATAGTTTCTTAAATGAAAATACACTTATGCTAAAGTAGATGTGCCGAATAGTTTTTTGGTTCTCTCTAAAATCATTAGTAACAATTTGGCATAGAGAATTTAGTTATTTGGAACTATAGAGAACAAAAGTTAAAGGTTTTGGCACTATTACAAGCTCGGTCACATTTATTCAAGATTTTTTCTATTTCAATTTGAAAGTCATAAAGAAGATATAAAAAATAAGACAACATAACATTTGTGCTGTTTTTTTAAATTACCTTTTAAAAACTTTAGTAACTAACGTGAGTACAAATTTAATACATATTTTTTTCATGTTTCAATAAAATGTTTACAATAATACAATATATATGTGAGCTGTCTAAAATGTTGAATGGCACAGAACTAACATACAATTTTCTTGTCTATATATTTTATATTCTCTAATTACAATTAAATTATTCTTCAGTTTATATCATACCTAGTTGGTGTTTCTTGACGTCATTTAATGTATTTTCACAAAATATATTTAAAAATATCTTTATCTACATTTTTAATATAGTTGACTGTTACAAGTGCAATTCGCATTTGAACGAATAAATTGAGCTGCCCATTTATTCTTATTTTAAATTTTATTTTACATTAATATGGTTAATGTCAACTTAAGTTAATAATTTTTATATTATATCTTTATAGTATTAAGTAAATAGAATTTAAATTTATGCTAACACATATCGACAAAGTACGACTAGATATTTTAAAGGAGTATTCTTAATTCTAAAAAGAAATTTATTCGTATAGACAATTAATAGGTAGAGCACGGATATGTTTTCCAAGTGGTCGGCATAGCGAGGTGAGGGTGGATGCGGGCGCATTGGGTATGTGAGCTCAGATCTCTTTTGCGTTGAGTTGTTGAGATTAGGTGGCGAGCGAGATGGGTCGTTCAGGTCGGATGGTGAGTGCGTTGTGTCGGAGACCTCAGATGACGGGCAGCAACGGGCTGGGCGAGCGCGAGGAGCGCGGGGAGCGCGGGGAGCGCGCCTGGCGCCGTAAGCTGCCACTCCACTCCATCATATCCTCGTCTCCCTGCACACGCGCACTCGACATACTCTCACCATCATACTCCACAAGTTCCCAACTCTGAGATCGAGATTTTGAGATTGTTTAGAGGTAGACATGCTGCTTTTGAATTTCTATTTTACGATACCGTTTCCGTAACATGTTTATTATGAATTCAAAGACAATATCAACAATTTAATATTTCAGTAATACAATAGTCAAGTAAATTACCAAAACAAGAGAACGTAACGTTTTACAAAATAACAAGAAAATTGTAACCAACTTTGTAATTCCATGCAATTCTAAGGACCACAAAATGTCTAAACCAGACAAAATAAAGCGATGTTTTCTTTTATTACACGCTATTCTATTCTATTTGTACGCGTGCAGGTTCGGGGCCAGAAATTTAAATCACGTATTACGGTGTTAACACTTACATATAAGAGGTAATTACCATCATCGTGTGTGGCGCTACGGTCGCGGCGTGCGTCGCGGGGGGCGCGGGAGGCACCAGCGGCGGAGGAGGCGCCGGCGGGGGCTCGGGGGACGCCGCCGCGGGAGAAAACGACGAGGGAGCGAGCGGTGATTGAGCTGCAAAAAAATTAGCATTTATATCCTATACTTGCAAGGACTAAGGGATTTGGAGATACAATTAAACACTATTAACCTGCAGCTGTTAGAGCAAGCACGAATTGACTCCAGTGCACGCAGCAGCCGCAGCAGAGCTGGAGAGCGGCGCGGCGCAACGCACGGTGCAGCGCCATAAACAGCAAGGGGTTCACCGCAGCGTGCACGTATGAAATGTGCAGCGTTATTTGGAAATACATCTAGACAAAGTCATAAACAAAAACAACATATCAAAATGATGTACCTCGAAATTCTTTTATTTCTATTAAACAATCTTGGAAGACAACTGACTAGGAGATCATAATTTAAAGTTACAATGATAAAATACATAATATAGATGTAGTAGACGAATAAAAAAATAACACGTACTTCATAAGCGACATGTGAAGTCAGAGCCGGATGGTGAAGAAGAGTTATAATGAACAGGGGGCCCCAGAAGAGAACGTAAGCGGCGGTGATGACGAGGAACATTCGCACGCGCCTCACGCCCTCCCTCTCCACTCTAGCGAGATATCCTCGCAGACGCCGGCCGCCGCCAAGAGGTAAACTGGCACTGCCCATACATTGGCCATCAGCTAAAGCGCCATCTACAGTCTAGAAGTCATAATCAAATGATGATTATTTAAAGTCATTGACGGTAAAATTATTTCTAAAAGCAAAAAGCTTCTTAACAATACAGTTGAAAGTGAAATTTGCGAAAGGCGTTGAGTATAAATGTCATTAATTTGTCGTTAATTATTTCATTCATCACAGCATTAATCTTTGAAAGTAGCTTAAGAATAACAACAATAACAAAACAATATTAATAAAAATTAACAACTAGCACTTGATACTAAAAAATAAACTGGATCAAGTTTTTTCTAACAGAATCATCACATGTGAAGTGTTCAATGACTTCAATTTATTCTTTGAATTAAAAGTATCGAATTATTAAAGCTTTATCACAACTACATAAATCCTGATAGACTCCTGTAAATCAGAATAAAGGCGGAAGGGTTAAGGGTGCACACAGACGTAATATCTACAGTGACAAAGACATGACAGTGAAAGATGGAGTATTAGCTCCAACATGCTCAGTACTTACTCGCGGTCCGACGCTGTTGGGCAGCGAATCCATGCGCCTGTTGTCGCCAGCCATGCTGACAAGCGTGGTCACTAAACCAGCTACCCGTACTGCTTCTACGTTAGCCTGCATGCCATAAGATTTAAATTATCGATACCTAAAATTTTCCTTCTTCCTACGACCAGCAAAATGCCAATGATAGTCTTTGAAAGAGAACATCAACATTACAAGAATCCAATCACGTTGTAGATCGAAATACGAAAATTTAAATCTTATTTGCTTATTGAATACATGGTGAGATCGGCAGATTGCCAACGGCAGAGTTTTGATGTTGTATTTGCATTTTTATAAAATTGGAAGTTTCACACAAAACATAACGGAATAATGTATTGATTTACTTTTCTTCGCCAGTACCTGTGTGCTGTCAAAACTACAATACGTTGTACACACTCATTACTGTATCTATGATTCTATTTTTCTTTCTGGAGCAAGCGCGAGGTGATACATGTTAATATCTTAATCGAATGATTATGAAAAAGTGGGAGATCAACGGTAGCTTTGTATCTAAGCCAGAACATAAATTAATGCGACAGCAATATATTCAACAAAGCGCCATTTATACACATTACTCAAATCAAAACTTTTCCGTGCTATATTTATTTATACCCAAACAAAATAAATACGAACCTTCGTAAGATCGCGGTGAAGTTTTCTCAAATGGAATAAAGTAAGACCAACACAAACAGCGTTGACACCGATCCAAAGAGCGTTGAGTACGTAATGCCGGAAAGGTCCTCGTACTAATGGACATGATGGGGAAGGTCCATAAGAACCGTAGGAGCCGGCGCTTGCTGCTAAAGCACCGGACAAGAACGTTGGTCCTAGATTTATAGTGATTGATGCAAACCATATCATAAATGTTCCAAAAAGTACACACTGGAACAAAACAAATACGTTACAGATAAACGTAAAAATCGACTAGTTATGCTACAACATGGACAGATTGGTAGTAATAAATAAGAAGTTATACTTGTGGGCTATCCATAAGTAAGGGAGCTGATAAGTCGGCTTGCTCTTCTTCGTTTTCAGGAAATATGGGGCTATCATTTAATACGGTAGTTAGCATATTAACTGTAGATACAGTGACCTGAAATATATAAAACGTGACAAAAGTATTCTGCATAAAGCGTTCATGTTAATAACTAAAATTATCTATTAATTGCAACATCTATAGGTTTCCACTTACAAGTAATAAGAAAGCTGTTTCTACTAGTGAACATTTATAGACGGGTTGGCAACGAAACACGGCAATGCCTAGAGGTAGGAGGATAGCGGCGCGCGCACAATCCACGACCGCTTGGTGAAAAAGGAGTCCATGTGACCATCTGTAGCAAAATATTTTAGGTAATTACAATTTACACTTACTAATACTTTCGTGAGACATTATACTATACTAGCTTTCGCCCGCGACTTTATCCGCGTGGAATTTAAAAAAACTGAAGTGAATAGCCTATGTTTTCTTCCAGACTATCCTCTACATCTATACCAAATTTCATCGAAATCCATTCAGCGGTTTAGGCTACAAACTCTAACAAACATCCATCCATCTATCTAAACTTTCGCATTTATAATATTAATATGACATTTTAAACACGGCCTAACTCACGTGATAACTTTCGGTGTAGGCACCGACCAGAATCGGACCCGGTAGGGGTTCTTCTACAGACTAAATGATTAACAGCTTTATTCGCTATTTCGTCTCGCCGGACACCGGCGACGGATTCGAACATAGTCAGTGCCAACACCGACGGTTGTCACGTAAGTTGAGCCGTGTTTTAAAATTAATATTTACACCTATTGTCTCAGTGCAGCTTGTAGAGTCAAGTCTGTACTACATAAAGAATTTATCGAAACAGTCCAGGTAAACTTGTCGAGGAAAGTTAAACAAGATTTAAAAGCTATTTTCGCTCTCGACAAAGTATTTTAACGAAAAGTCAATACAGACCTGATCAACTGTTCCACGTCAAACGGATTCAGAGATGTTTTAACTTACATCGGTGAAAATAGTTCATCTAAAAATGTACCTTGCCCTGTAATTGTTTGATTTTAGAAAAGCCCTTTATGCTTAAATAGAATGTCTATATTTAGTAAGAGTTACCAGCGTTATTGTTGAATCAATATTTTAATTATTAGTATCCCGACATGACATTTTAGATGTATCCAAAATAGAATTTGGGTTAAATCGATAATTTATTTTTGAATATTAAAATAGATTTACCTATATTCTATTTAGTTCATATCTAAATAAAAAAACTGACATAAATGTAAAAAAAACGTTTGGATTGGATTAGACAACTTATCTATTAAGAGCAGTTATTAAGTTACCTTCTCAATTGTTTTTTACTAAGTATGACAGTCATGAGAGCAATGTTCGCTGACATGCCAAGACTGGATAATGCCAGAAGTGCCGCAGCACTCGCCGCGCCCCCTGGCGGGCAGTGCCGGGTATTGTTTAGTATCGATGCATTGTTTGCGCCCGACGAACCGAACCGGAGGTTCGCTCCAATCATAGCAACTGCTGATCCAGCTTGAAAAAAAAGCAAAACTATGTATGAAAGAATTACAATAACAAATATGTATCTACTAGCTTTCGTCCGCGACCCAGACTCATTTCATTAAAAAAAAACAAAAGTGAGTAGCCTATGTATTTAATTAGACTATCCTCTACATCAGTACAATATTTCATCGAAATCCGATCAGCCGTTTAGGCTACAAACTCTACGAAACATCCATTTATCCATCCATCCATCTAAACTTTTGCATGTACTCGTGTAATATTAGTATGAAAGTATGACGAGGGATAAGGAAAATTAGATTATAATATAGTGGATTAAACTTATCGAATATTTCTTGCAAGCTAAAGCAAGCGATGTCTAAGTTCGGCGTCTAATTCGCTTATTGAAGTGTCGATCCGTCATTTCACTGTGAACTTCGGACTTTGCTTATAATTAAGTACCTAGCGTCTTTAGCCGTCACTTTCTCCAATAACTTTAACAAACTTGCTTCAAAGGAACTACTAGAATTACTAAAGTTAACATACCTGCTGACATCTTGTAAGTTTAGTTTTCAGTTTTGCCTCTTCTAGATTTTCAATGGTTTATAATAATAGTGAAAAGTAAATCCTTGTAGGAACTAACACCAGTTAGATTATCTTCGATGTTTGATTGCATTTTTTAAGATTTCATCCGAAAGTTTAGATATTTCCATCAATAATATAATAGTTACACTTAAAAGAATAGTGTTCTTTTAAAATATAATTAGTCCTAGTTACGTTGTTTGCGAATTAAAAATTATTCAAAAATGTAATAAAAACAATAATCCCTGAAGTTTGTTACCTGAAACAATACAAAAACAATTATAATAAAAATACCTGACGGCACTATTATTTTATAGTTCCATAATATTTGTTTTTCTAGGCATAAACTTAATATGTCTCCAATTAGGAGTTGTTTTTCTATAATAAACGGGGCAAACGAGCGGCGGGATATCAGAGGTGGTCTACGGCGCCCATGGACATCCGCAACACCAGAGGAACTACAGATGCGTTGCCGGCCTTTGATGAAATGATAGGCTCGCTTCTCGAATGACCCTTAGTCGTATTTGTTTGAAAATAAAATCCCTCTTAGATTTTCTTTAAATATTATATACGTAGCTATGTGAAAAACGTTAAATCATATTTCAAACTCAAATAATTTATTACAACTTTGAAAGATATATATTTTAAAAGTTACAATTCAGTAAATTGGTAGTAAGTATCGAAACTTCGTAGTAAGTGTAGCTGATTTTAATAAATCTTTAGCACCTGCGGAATTTTCATTTAAAACTTTCTTTGAATTGTTTGTGTTGAAATATAATTCCTGCCGTATTAATCGCTTCTTTATCCAGAGTTAATTTAGATCTGAAATACGTAATAAGAACTACGTAGAGGTATTTTTTTATTTACACTAACTTCAATGCAAGTCAGTCTTCGTAGAATTAAAATAAATAAAAGTAACCTATGTTCTCCTCCAGATGATGCTCTACATCTGTACGAAATTTCATTGAGATCCATTCAGCCGTTTAGGCGGCAAACACTAACAAACATCCATCCATACATTTAACTTACGAATTAATAACCTTATTAAGACTTTTAATAAATCCCCTCAAGATTTTCTAAGAAAATTTAATAGACCGTACGTTATACAATAAGCTAATAAACGAATTTGCAATTAAGGATGGAAGCATCTTTGTTTATATTTTCACGTCCGAAACAAGCGCTTGAAAAAGTCTACAAAAACCGAAGCTTTGGTTACCTTTAATGAATCAAATTACTTCATAAATTTCTTAGTTTATTTACATCGCTTGTTGACCTTATACTTGATTTTTTTTATATCATATTAATATTATAAATGCGAAAGATTAGATGGATGGATGTTTGTTAGAGTTTACAAACTCTAAGCCTAAACGGCTGAACGGATTCCGATACAATTTAGCATAGATGTAGAGAGTCTGGAAGAACGCATAGGCTACTTGTATTTGTTTTTTTTTTAAATCTGCGCGGGCAAAAGCTAATTGAAATATAATTAAATAATAGTAGTAAAATAATAAATTTTCTTTTGCTTCTATTAAAGAGGGCAAAGTACAAATAGGTAAATGCATTATATGCACATATAAGCTTTGTTTTTAATATAAATGTTTTTGTATAAAAATTGTTTAAGTGGAAAATTTAATTCTAACAGCTTATTTCTTCATAAACTTAGACGAAATGTCAAAGAAATGAAAACGTTGGTTTGCACAACAAAAAAAAAATCACACAAAATGCCTTGAACCCGACGGCCCCATTAACATTTCAGTGAACCTGGCCCTTCGCGTTTCACGTAAACTTCTTTGTGCACCTTTTGGGACAATTAATTCACGCTTTAAAGGAGAAGAACAAATTTGTTTTATTTTAGTGAATTATGTGGATTACCTTTTAACGTCTCTTAAAATACTGATGTCGGTGGGCAAAGTTAAGGCTTATTCCAAATGCGTTATTTGGAATAATTCTAACTTTTTTTTATGTTACAAATGTGAAAGTTTTGTCAATAACTTATAATAAAATGTTGTTATTGATTCGGTTCCGTTTTGATGAATTTTATAGAATAAAAAGTCGTCTTTACTGATATTATCGTTCACTAAAATGCTGCATCTCTTTATATTCTTAAAGGCATGGTTTTTAATCGTTAATATTAACGGCCAGTTTCAGTAAAAGTATTTTAGATTACAAATAAATTTTCAAATTACGAAAAGTACATTTTTCGGAATCGCCGCCTATCGATCACAAAATGTTTCCTACGTTACAAAGGGGGTGTAATTTATGGTGCTTTTTGTAGTCCTTCAAACGCAGCTCGTTCCAAAAAGGGGAGATAAAACAATTCATTTCTTGATTTATGTCATTGAAAAAAGCTAAAAGCTCACAAAAGAAGGTTTCGTTAAAAAACTACATTTTAAATAATAATGATCGTTACAAAATTGTAATTTAATCGTAATGTCTATTATGAAATTAGAAACAAGCTACCAATTTAAGAATTTCATTAAAATATGTTGATTGTAAAAATCAGTGGTTCCAAAATCCTTTATGATTTTATTTCAATTGTGTTCATATGATAATCATAATACAATGTTACATTTATAAGGCACTAATTGTTTTGAAGCCAAAGAAAATATCTCATGAAGTAATTTACTTATTTGTTTTAAGATAATTTAAATATTATCGTTATGTATTAATTAAATAAACATTCTTTAGAAATTTGTAATTCACATAAAACTTTTCAAGCTCTTAATTAAAAAGTATAATTCATACGTGATAAATGGAAGTACGAAAAGAAAAATATTATGATCTACTTTAAACTGAAAGTTTTAAAATATCTCTGAAATAATTAAAAGAGTTCAGAAACGCGTAGAGTTGACTTTAATATTTGCATTGCTGTGGATGGGAAGCTTATTGAAATAAATATATTTTTAACAGGTATACTATCAAGTTAATATAATTATGTTTTAATGTATTTTATTTAAATTTTAATGCACTTGTGGTTTAGCGATTTTTTAATTAATTTAGTGTATTAATTTATCGTCATATTACCGTCTCCATTAAGAGATTTGAGCTTCTCTAAGTTTTTCTAAGGCCTTTGACAATTACATTGTTCCGAGCGTCAGTGCGGATTTTCTAATTTAAAAATATTTGTCCTTACCAGATATAGTACTGTTTACATTATGATGTTTTGACGATAATAAAATAATTAGCAATTATAGTAATCGGTACAAATAATTTGATGCATGTAGGTCGGATACAATTGAGTGTAACGTGAAGTGTAAGCTCTCGTGAGCACGACCCGCTCCCGTAAACGAAATTGCGGTTTTCGAGCACAACAGCCACAATGGCGGGTCTCGCTTTCACACAAAAACCTCGCACCAGACCAATAAAAGTGTATAGAACACATGGGTATAAAACTTTCAACCTGTATATTGAATTTTTCAAAGTTTCCCAGTGCAACGCAAACTAGGATACGTTGCGGTGTAATGAGAAATGTATGAAGTGATATTAGTTCAAAAGTAAATAGAGTTGTATACTGAGTCTGACTATATGAATCATAATGAAGTGTGTTAGATGTTTGTAAAAAAAATTAGTTATAAGTTCGTTATGAGGCATTAGGTTAAAAAATGCATATCACGTTAAGTAAATTCCCAAATGTCCTAATGAAATAAAAAGTATACAGCCGAATCTTTTCAATAAATGTTTTGACTAAACATAAATATTTCACTCTTTGTGTTCCAAGGATAATAAAAAATGGATATTTTGTAGAGATCAAACAAATATACAAAGGGAATGAGTGACAAAGGTTAATGGATGCCTTGCTAAAACAAAACTGCCTTATTACAATTTCAGCAGACCTTCTATCAAAAGAACATCGGTACTAGTATTTTGTTTTTATCTGTGTAACTCTCAAAAGACTTGCGAATTTCTTTGATATGGAAATCTTAAGAACGTTTTATCCGTGATATGTTTATATGTATTTCTATTTACATTGCGAGATTAAAGTCCTGTGCCACCAGTGGCTGAGAGAGGCTTAGATAGCTTAAAAATGACGTCACTGCCAGATGGGAAAACAGTCCGACGGGCCCTAAGAAATCAGATCCCTTAAAGACTTATTAAAATACGCATTTATGCAAACTAAATCGTAATTAACTTTATGCTTATGATATCTGACAAGTTAAAGTAATTTAGGGGTAGATAATAAATGTCCTGTCTGTATTTATTTCTATTTCATTTAAATGCAATAGAAAAAAGTGACTAGAGGTTAGTAAATTCGGAGAGAATGAGTTGGTTATGCATGAGTTTCCTGGTGCTTCGATATATGCAAATTCAAAACTAGATTTATTAAGACACAAAGCCACGCAGCGCTGAAATAGAGCACTGAATAGATCAACGAATGCTGCTAAATACAACAGCCATAGTGTGAAATTATATTTCGATTGCTAAATAATGTTTTCTAACTCAATATTTTAAATTCTACTGAATATAGCATGTATAGGTCGTCGGTGGCGCAGTGGTTTAAGCACTTGACTTGTAATCTACAGGTCTTGGGGTCGAATCCCGCCATGTACCAATGTGATTTTCGATTTTTCGTATTTTCATATGTACATAATTGATTGACGTGCTTACGGTAAAGGAAAACATCGTGATGCAACCTGCACATATCGGCGAAGATATTCAAAGATATGTGTGAAGTCAACCAAACCGCAGTGGGCCAGCGTGGTTGACTATGGCATAGTCACCCTTGCTTAGGGTCTGAGCTCCTCGGTGGGGACGTATACTGAGTTGATGATGATGATGCATATATCGATAAGCTACTTTGCGTTAATGACATTCTTTTAGGTTACATTCACATTTTAAAATGATGTTTCAAACTTAATTTCCAAGTTCTTAATAAACTTCCACTAGGTTATGAAAATGAATACTCATAGGTTTTTTACGATTTTTACTCATTACATCCTAAGTGATGTGCGGCAGATAAAAAATGGCAGTTAACTTTAAGTGGGCTTTTCAATTTTTAATTGATATTAGTTTCCAGCGTGACGTTAGCTGTAAAACTATGAAAGCAAGATTAAATTTAACTGAATTATAATAAAGAAACACTAAAGATTTATTA